TCTCCAGCTACGCAGACGACCCCGCGGGGGCTGGCGCCAGCCTGAAGCCTTGCCTGGACAAGGCCATGAAGATCATCCCGGCCGAGCAGCAGCGGGAGACCCCCACGTACCTGGGGGCCACGGCCGGCATGCGGCTGCTGAGGTACCGGCACGGCCAGGCTGGCACCTCCCGCCTTTCCCGGCGCTCCTGCGCTGCACCCGAGCCGGGGCTGGCACCGGGGCACAGGGGCTGGGCCACAGGGGTGCTGCCCGGCCAGGCCGTGGGAATGGGCAGAGCATCCCTGTCTGCCGTGCCCTGGAGTGTCCGGGAGAGCCGCTGGCCGTGCCCAGGGTCCACGGCCAGCCCTGTGCAGCCCCAGCCTGGCAGCAGCCCCAGAGGGGATGAGCCCCCTTTGCCAGGCTGGCATGAAGTTTCCCAGTGCTCCAGCAGAGCCTGCAGGCAGCGTTTTTAGGGAGATTCCCAAGGGCCCGGGTGAGGGATTAGGGGTTTGCAGGAGACACCTGCAGGCAGGGGAGATGTCTCCAAGCAGCTCCTTGGCTGGGCACAGCAGTCTCTCGCTGCCAGCCCGGCTCCGCGAGCTGCCAGCCAGGGGCTGCAGCAGCTGAGGTGTTTGTGCCTTTGCTGGCAGGGAGGAGAACAGCACCAAGGCCGAGCAGGTCTTTGCCGAGGTGTCCAAGGCCATTGGGGAGTACCCTGTGGATTTCCGCGGAGCTCGGATCCTGACGGGGAGTGAGGAGGGCTCCTTTGGATGGATCACTGTCAACTACCTGCTGCAGACACTGGTCAAGGTGCAGCTCGGGGAGAGGGCAGGGAGGGGGAGCGGGGAGAATGTCCCTGGTTGAGCTACAGCCAGCTTGCCTTATTTGCAGAGGCGGGAAGAACGGAGCTTTGGTCACCCAACCAAATGTGCCCTGTGGCCGCAGGCTCAACCCCATTCACGTGATTAACAGGATCTTTGTGTCCATCTCAGCCTGGCCCTGTGCTCTCGTGTGCTGACACACGGGTGGATTTTGGGGTCCCAAGGATATGGCAGCGGTATCAGCCCCTGGATGATAGCATTCCTTTTTCCCTGCTCAGCGTGTGTGGATCCCAGCAGATGTGCACCAGCCAAGAAGCCCCGCCTCAGTGCTCTGTGGAAGTGTCTGTGGGTTGAGGAGGATGTGGGCAGGAAGGGGTTAAAACAGGGAGCCAGGAGCACATGGAAGGTGCCTGTGGGGCTTTTGAGCCTGAAATTCCCGGAGAGAAGGGAGTGTGAGTGTGAGTTCGAGTGTGAGTACCTGCAGCTCAGCCTTACTCTTGGTGTGTGTTGGGCCAGTTCTCGTTTGCAGAGAAATGGGAACATCCCCAGGACACCGAGGTTCTGGGAGCTCTGGACCTTGGCGGTGCCTCGACGCAGATCACCTTCCAGCCCGGGGTGCCTGTGGAGGACAGGAACACGTCCGTGTTCTTCCGGCTGTACGGCACCAACTACTCCCTGTACAGCCACAGCTACCTGTGCTACGGGCAGAGCCAGGCCCTGAAGAGGCTGCTGGCAGCTCTGCACCAGGTGCCGTGGGGCACGGGGGCTGCTCAGCCACCTCCTGGTGCCATGGCACATCTCTCCCTGCCATGCTTGGTGTGCCTGTGGGCAAAGAGTTGGCAATCGGCAGAGGCTTGGAATTTATCTGGGCAAGCAAAAAATTCCCTCATTTGGGTGGAAGGTGGTGGTGGTTGCCAGCCAGGGTTCCCTTCTCCCCACATCTTGGCATGCAGTGGCATTGTAATTTTGTAGTTTCCCAAGCCCAGATGTATCTGTAGGTTTTTTGCTGTCACCTTTCTCTTGCCCTTGCTCCACTTCTGCCCAGAGAGAGGCTTCCCAGCCCAGTCCCTGCACAACTGGCCTGGGACAGAGCCAGAGCCCAGTGCTGTGGGAGCCAGGGGTGCTCAGGGAGCTCACAGGTGGGATGCATCCAGTCCTCCTGGGGTGTAGGTCCTGCTTTTTGGGATGGGCTGTGGGCCGGGTCTCAGTGGCATGGCAGCCCCATTAACGGCTCTGTTTCTCTCCAGGCCAGCTCGAGTGATCAGATCTCCCACCCCTGCTACCCCCGGGGGTACCAGGAGAACCTCACCGTGGCAGAGCTCTACGACAGCCCCTGTGTGCGTGCGCCAAGCTCAGCCAGCCCTGGCCTTGTCCTCAGTGTGACGGGGACAGGGGACCCAGCCGCGTGTGGCACGGCCGTGCAGAGACTCTTCAACTTCAGCTGTGGGGCGCAGTGGCCGTGCGGGTTCAATGGGGTGTACCAGCCCCCCGTGCGGGGACAGTTCTTGGTAAGCAGCCTCTGTCTCTGTGCCTGTTGGAGGGTGACAGTAGAGACTGGGAGTCTCCTCTGCCTCTGACTGTGGGAAGGAATGGGGAGAGAGGGATCCTCAGAGCTATTTCTATCTGCAAACCTCTTCTATGCTTGGTGGTGGCTTCTGCCTCCTGCCATGTCCCAGCCTTCCCTGAGGAAAACAGCATGACCTTGTCTGAGGGAGCATGTCTGAGCTAGCTCAGAGTGCAAGAGCAGCCCCAGGGCTGCCAGCCAGCTCTGAGACTTTGTGATAGACCATCAAGGCAGTGCCAGATGAAGAACCCTTAGAATTACTTGGGACTCTTCCCAGGCAAGAGGGCCTCCTGGGTCTTTTCTCAGATGAGGAAGGAATTGTGGTTTTCACCATGTCCCCTTGCCCCCCAGGCCTTCGCTGGGTTCTACTACACCTTCCACTTCCTCAACCTGACCCGCCAGCAGTCTCTGAGTGAAGTCAACACCACAGTCCTGTCCTTCTGCAGGAGGAGCTGGCCAGAGGTTAGAGCCCTGTGAGGGGCAGCCAGGAGCCTTGTGCTTATCCTGTCCCAAATCTCTGCCCTTGGAATACAAGCCCTGCTGTTCCCTGGGCTAAGGAGGGTTTCTGAGCATCTCTTTCATTCCCTGTTGCACTGTGTCCCCCATGGCCCCACAGCTGGTGCAGAGCTTCCCGCAGGATTTGAAGTACCTGCACACCTACTGCTCTGTGGCCATTTACATCCTGACACTGCTGCTCGATGGCTACAAGTTCAATGAGCACACCTGGAGCAACATCCACTTCAGCAGGCAGGTAAACACCTGTGGGCACCAGGAGAGGATGGACATGTTCAGGAGCAGCATCTCTGGAGTCCTCTGTGCCAGAAATATGTCCCTCTTTCATGGCTGCTCCTCAGGGATCCCAGGAGAGCTTTGCTCTCTCTTAGCCATCCCCAAACCTCTGATCCAGCTCATGTTTCACCTTCCCTGAATGTAGCTGATTTTAAGGGGGTCAGGGAAAAGCAGAGCAGGATTTGGCCACTTTGGTCTCTGTTGTTGTTATCAGAGAGGTGATGGTGGCCCCATGACCACCAGAGTATGAACCAGAGTATGTCCTGGCCAGAATATTTCCAGGATGGGAGGAGACAGCCTCAAGTTGTGCCAAGGGAAGCTTAGTTAGGTACTAGGGATGGTTTTTTTTCATGGAAAGTGTCAGGCTTTGGAACAGGCTGCCTAGGGCAGTGGTGGAGGCACCATCCCAGGAAGTTTCCAACAACATGTGGATGTGGCACTTGAAGGACACAGCTCAGTGATGAACACAGCAGTGGTACTGGGCTGATGGCTAGACTCCATGATCTTAAAGGTCTTTTCCGACCTTACTGACTCTGCAGCCAAATTAGAAGGATTACGGGGATGGAGGAAAGCCCAGATCCAAAATCATGTGCAGGTCACAGAGGCACACCTGGATCAGAACAGTCATCCATGTTCATCTGTCCCTTAGCCCTGGGGGAGGGGGGACAGGAAAGCTCTTTGTGCAACTGCTGCTGGCAAAATCAGATTCATCACAGCCTGGTCCCCGTGTGAAACGGCAGCTGGGACAGCTCAGGGGAGAGGTGCCCCTCAGCCCCTCACACCAAGCTGCTGGTGCCTGGGAGAGGTGGTTTTGGATGATGCCCTATGCTGTCTTCCCTCAGGCAGCAAACACAGACATTGGATGGACACTGGGCTTCATGCTGAACTTCACCAACATGATCCCTGCTGAGGCTCTGCTGCACGTCAAGGGCCACCAGCCCGGCCTGTGGGCAGGGGCTGTCTCCTTCCTCGTGCTGGCCATTGTGGCAGGCCTGGTGGCTGTTTTCCTACAGTGTTTCTGGAAAACAAAGTAGCTCTCAGCCTCCTGACTAGAGGCATCCTGCCCACTAAACCAGGCAGGGAAGTGGTGCCGAAGAGGTGGAAAGTGGAAAAGAATGAAGGCATTAGACCCATCTCCATTGCTCAGGAGATCTGACTGGGTCACCTTTGTGAATGTGGAAGATGACAAAGGTGTCTTGATCTCTCTCCAAGAGAAAGACTCCTTTAATCTGACTGCCAAAACCTGATTGAGTCTTGCTGGCTGGATGAAGCCAGAAAAATTCAAACTAGAAATAAAATCAGTTTTGTTTTTCAAATATGAATGTCACTGCTTGGCCTAGCACAGTTTCTTTGGCACTCCCAGTCCTGCTGGGCTACTCTTCCAACAGCCATGGGAGGCAATGGAGAGCCGTGGTGGGCACCTAACTGAGCAGAGGGATGACATCATCTGTATCCTGCCCTGTGCAAGATGTGCAATATTTTTGTAGTATGTGACAGAATCTCTTCCCAAAGACACTGTCAGCTGTCTTTAAAAATACTTACTGGCATATCTCAGCAGAACACAAGTGAAAGTTGATTTAAGAGTTGCCAACTCTGGCTCAGGGTTTATTTTATATTCAAGTTACATAGCCAAGTTTTGTCAAGACATCAAATCCAGAACAGGCTCCAGCTCTAGGCACTTGAGAATTTTATTTAGATCAGCAGAGCCCAGCCCAGCTGTAGGAATTAGGGCTTTCAGTCCTTGCAGCATCAGCCCAGCACTGCACTTCCCAGACAGCCCTTTCCCCAGGGCCTCCAGGGCTCTCTCACAGCCCAGAGCTGCTCTGAGCAGTGGGGATTCCCACAGCTGCCTCTTCTCTGTGCTCCAAGATCCCACCTTGGCCTTTTGGCTTAAGAAAAGTGCCAAAGGCATCTGGCCAAGAAATGGTCAGGTCCATAGAGTATTTGCTACGGAAGACAGTGGTGTTATCCAATTAATCCCATTGCAAACTGGTTCAAAAGCCTTTTGAAAGAGAAGCATCTCTGGCTGGTGGAGATAAGGTTAAGTGACCCGAGAGCCTGGGGAACAGGCCTCTGCCCCTGCCAGCCACCATTGGCTTTGGCAGTGAGGCTCAGCCTTCCCAGCCTCAACATGAGCAACAAGGGAGAAGGGGTGAAGACTTACAGCAAGGGGAAACTCTTCCCAAGCAGGGGAACCTCTTCCTACCCAGAAGCCTGAGCTGCCACATGGACAATTCCCACAGCCAACCCCCAGAGCCCTCTCCCTTGCTCTCTGTTCTGCACAGACACATCTTTGGCAGTGTAAGCACGAGGTCAGGGAACATGCTGTAGGAAATGCCATCACTACTGGAACTGTCCCCATGAATCTGAGTGGGAGATATCCCCTGTCCAGATATGGCAGAGCTTCTTGCTGTGCTGGTTGGGGCCCAAATGAGCTGGGACCAGTGTCTCCCACACCTGGCGGTGCAGTCAGGCAGGAAAAGGCTCCTGTTTGCTATAGGAAGGCAGCATCACAGCTGGTCTGAACGGCAAAGCATTTGGGGAAGATGCCAGTCTTGCCATTGCAGCGTCCTTCCAGCCAGTCCTTGTTCACTGGAAAACATAAAGGAGCAGGAATGATCCCTGGCCCATATGAGTGGGGTTAGTGAGAGTTTTCATGGCTGGAATTTAACTCTGGGTAAAACCGGTACAAGCATGTAACTCCTGAGAGTATGAACCTGAGACAGCACTGGAGAGGCCACATTTTCCCCAGTGCCTCCCCACAGCAGACTCCAAGAGCCTGGCCCAGCAGCAGGACTGGAGAGCTACCTTCAGAGAGGATATCCAGCACATCTCCCTTGCTGAACTCCAGGTCTCCTGGTCCCTGTGCTAGGTAAGAATGCTGAGCCAGCATCTGGTAGAGAACAGGTCTGCCCGAGTGGGAGTCTGAATCCTGCAGGAAAAAGCCAGCATGGAGGTTGTAAAGCAAAGAAGAGACTGGAGTCCAGCCCAGCAGAGCCATTTCCCCAGCTCACTCACCTGGCAGCAGAGTGTCAGCCTGCCCTCAGTCAGCTGCTGCCACACCTTCCCCAGGTCTTCCTGTCCTGACACTGTCCCCAGCTCTGTGCCATCCAGGAGCCTGTAGCTGCAAGGGTTCACTAATGCTGAGCAAATCATCTCCTTTAAAGCCAAATTTGGAGGCAAGCCCAGCCCTCTGCCACCCTCAATCTTTACAGTCCCGTTTGCAGGCCAGCTCTGAGCTCGTCCCCTTGCACAGTGACATGAGGCCACCCCACATGCTCAGCAGGCAGAAATGGCACTGTGGGGAGTGACACTGTCACCTCCTCACACACAAACTTGAGGGAAAGATCCTAAACTCCCCTGATGCCACTGTGTGCCCCAAGGGGTGTCACAATCAGGGAGACCTCACCCCAGGATCTTCTGCCTGAGTCCCGGATTGCTCTGCATTGATCCTTGTTACTGCAAAGGCTGAGCTGAGTGGGACAAAATCCCATCTGCAGCAGCTGCATCTACAGAGTTTTTCCTTCTGTTCTCTCTTTTTCTTGACCATGATACAGTTTCCTAGGAAAGATCCTTTAGGTTTCCAAGGCCCATACAATTACAGAGTCATAGAATGGTTTAGCTTGGAAGGCCCTTAAAGATAATTTAGTTTCAACTCCCTGCCATGGGCAGAGAATCTTTCACTACACTAGGTTGCTCCAAGCCCTATCCAGTCTGGCTGTGAACAGCTCCAGAGACGAGGAATCCACAATCTCTATGGGCAACCTGTGCCAGGGCCTCACCACTCTTATATTAAAGAGTTTCTTCCTAATATCCCATCCAACCCTGCCCTCTGTCAGTTTGAAGCCATTCCCCCTTGTCCTGTCACTCTATGCCTGTGTCCCCTAAGTCCCTCTCCAGCCCTTCCTGAGCCCTTTATGTACTGGGAGGGGATTGCAAGGGGAACAGCATGTGCCTCCCCACGGTTATCACACTGCTGTCCAACCCTAAGGCCACGGTGAGGTTTGCCCTCTAGGCAGACTGTGTGCTCACATCTTTGCTGGATCTGGGGGTTTGGCCCCAGATAAACGCTCCCAGGAGCGCAGAGGCAGTTGGGTGCCCGTGTCCTGAGGGGAATGGCTGCTGCCCCATCACAGCCCAGAGCCCCGTACCTGAGCGTGCCCCGCTGTGCCTGCTGAGCCAGCCTGTCCCGCAGCAGGGCCCGCAGGGCCGGCAGGGCCGGGGCCTCGCCCGCCCGCAGCACCAGCGAGCACTCGCAGTGCAGCCGCAGCACCGCCGGCCTGGCTGCGCCCGCAGGGGCATCCCCGCACCCCGGGGGCATCTGTGGGGACAGGGGAGAATCAGAATGAGCTGGAGGGACCCACCAGGATCACCCAGGGCAGCCCCTGTCCCTGCCCAGACCCCCCAACAATCCCAGCCTGTCCATCCCTGGCAGCGCTGTCCAAACGCTCCTGGAGCTCTGGCAGCCTCGGGGCCGTGCCCATTCCCTGGGGAGCCTGGGCAGTGCCCAGCACCCTCTGGGGGAAGAACCTAGACTGACTATGAAGTTCATGGACTAAGAAGGACCACGACTGACTCTAACAAACCCAAGTGACAATATCTGCTCTCAGAGAGGTGACACAGACAAAATCCCTCATCTCTGTGCTGCCATGTCACAGTAGAACATCATCAAAATGCAGACCTGAATTTCAAAGGAGGAACTCTGTATTCAAAGCCCAGGATCAAATGCTCCTCCCATGACCCAGGAATTCTGGTTTTGGTTGTCATTTTACAGGTACCTCCTTAACCCAAAATTGTATGATCAGGGCCCCAATTCCTCCAGCCAGCTGGAGAGGACCAGCCACATTCCTCTGTTGTGTTGTCCTTTGGCTGAATTACACCTGAAAAAATTACCCTAAAAGAGGGGTGGCAGAGCTGACCTGCAGCTGGAGAACAGAGGTGGTGTCCCCAGAGTGCCACGGAGTCATTACAGGGGCATCACATGCAGGGGTGACAATGGCATGGAAGTGCCTCAGAGGACATTATCCAACAGGGCAAATTTGAATGAATTTGAATAGTAAATTTGTGCTTTCCAGACTAATAGGGACAGAAAATGGAACACAGGAAGAGGGGGAAAGGGACAGCAGGGTGTTCAAAGACAACTGCCTCTTGCAAAGTGGGCTGTAAAGCATGTGCACAAGAACTCTGATGCATTTGGTGCTCCTGGTGCCTCAGAGGGTGGCAACAGCTTGGGCTGTCTGTCACAAAGTGGGATGGTCACAAACTGGAAGGAAAGACCACATGGGAGCCTCTCTTTAGAATGGAAAAGGGGTCAGAGGAAGTTTTTTTCCCCAGTGATTTGGGAGCAGCTCAGGAATTTTGGGCAAGAATCTTTCACTTTTGCCAGCCCATGTCTCCTGAGGCTGTGCCAGCTTCAGCCTGTGGAACACCTCACCTTGGAGTCCATGTGGGCATCATTGGCACAGGCATTTTCTTCCCCAGGAGGATCTGCAGAACAGCACAAAGGCAGAGGAACAGCCCTGCAGTCAGCAGAGGCTGCAGTGGGCCACCACCTCCTCACACCCTCTAAAGAGCAGGGTTTGGGCACAGCTTCACCCACTAATCCCAATTGCCCAGGAATTACCTGGCTTCTGCTTCACATGGAGGCAGCTGGGAGGCACCTGGGCAGGAGGAAGGGGAATCCCAGTGTTGATCTTCTGCAACAGAACAGCATCAGAAACAAGAAGGCAGAAAACATGGGAGCCTGGACAAGGCTGGTGTGTGACAGGCTGCAGCCAGCTACAGATTTGTGCCTGTAACCCCAGAAGGAGCCCCAGGGAGAGCTGCTCATTGAATGGTTGGATGAGGGGAGGCACTCAGGCTCTTGTGGGCAGAGGTTTGGGGACACTTCCCTAGCTCCCTGTTCCCTGCCAGGTTGGTGCTGGAACAGAAGGAGGTTGCTCACACTGTGCTGAGGGCTCTTGCCACCTGGGCTGGTTCACTGTGACACATCCATGATGCAAACATCCAAGTACCAGGAATTCATTTGGAGGGGGAAAAATGACCAAAAAAAAAATCATAGTAACATCAGAACAACCATGTGCTTGAAAACTCCCTCACAGGAAATGGGGCCTAGCTGCACCCTTCTACACTGGGCTCAGATGGAAAATGGTTGGGATAATGTGTGGCTATGCCTGTGGTAGAGATGGGAAATGAAGTTCTCCCGAGTCAAAGAGATTTTTCTTACTCCTAACTCTTCTCTTTTTCCCATTCAAGAGCACTTGGTCTTCAGTCAATAGTCTCAGTGTTTCATACTCTACATTTCTCTTACAGAGTTGTCCTATCCTGTGATAATCTTGCAGATAAATGTCCCAAATACATGTCTTGGTCTCTCCCTCCCCCTGGTTGCAAGGTTGCCAGCTCACCCATTTATCCATCCTTGAGGCAGGCTCCAGGAGAGAGCTCGGGATGTGCAGCTTCTGCAGAGAGACACAGAGCAGGGCAGGGTGAGAGAGGAGCCCAGAAACCCAGCACTGCCTGTCACCCTATGGCCACAAGACTGTGCCTGGGGGGCCGGGCTCACCCCCAGCCAAGTGCCAAGTGTTCACAAACTGCTAAACAAAATCCAGTGGTCCTTCTGCAGCTTTTCCTGCTGGGAGCAGAGCTGCTGCTGGAGTGGCTGCAGTGGAACAGGCCAAACACACACCAAATCCCCTGCTCCCAAGACAAATGCTCAGGCAGAGAGCAGCAAGGATGCCCAGCATCCAGTCCAGCAGCATTTCTGTGTCTTCTGACAATCACTTGCTGCTCATTTCAACTAAGCATTGCAATTTTTTGCTTACAATGCTTTTTTTTCTGTTAAGAGTATATTTTTATTTTTCCTACATTGAATTTCACCTGGCACTTCATGTAGCAGTCAACTAGCACATCTAAATACTTGAGTAACTGTTCCTGTTAGCTCCAGATGCTTCAGGCTCTCCCCCTATTTCTCTATCACTTAGGAATATGCTAAACGCTTATGCCACAGAGGATCTGCTGTGGGGACATCCTTTCTTTTTAAAAATGAAAGGAAGAAAAACCTGTTCATTTATACCAACCTTTTCATTCTGTATTTTTTACCAGTCCTCAGAGCACTGTCTCTCTTGCTCAAACACCTCACTGGTTTATTAGTGGTCTTATGAGAAATCTTTTTTGAAAGATAGGCAGGTAATACATCCACTGAACCTAATCCAGGTGGCTCTTTCAAAAATGGAAGTAGACAAGTGAGAAATGGCTTCTGCCAACGAAAGATTTTCCATGTTGTGTTTACACTACAGCTCCCTGACCTGCAGGAAGATGTCAGATTTGCTGGGCTCTAAGTCCTTAGGACTTCTCTAGAACCCTTCATAAAACCTGTCTGTACAGCTGAAACCACAAACCTTCCCAAAGTTCACTGAACAGAGGCACTACAGACCAGGTAAAGACCAGTCCATCTCCTCAGCTCCATCAGAGCTCTCAGGGTACAAAACCTGCTCTGAGTGGTGATCCTTGGTGAGGTCTGATATCCTCCCCAATAGGATCCCCAACAGCCATCCTTGTGGATCTACAGAGGGGAATGGCAGAGGCCAGGGAGAGCCCAGTGCCAGGAAACCTGAGGGGTGTGGAAAGGAGCTCCTGAGGATTGGGATCACAGGGGGTTGGGGCTAAGCCCTGTCCACGGGGCCGTGTCCTTCCCTCCCCAAGGGGCTGTGTCCCCCCTACCCAGGGGGCCGTGACCCTCACCTATCCACAGGGCTGTGTCCTTCCCTACCCAAGGGGACGTGTTCTTCCCCTGCCCATAGGGCTATGTCCCCAAGGGGCCGTGTCCCTCACCTGCCCATCGTGGATGGCCGTGGCCCAGCCTTCTGCTGTCCTGCTCAGCACAAACAAGAGGCTCCCGGCCGGCACCTCCAGCCCCGCCGGCTCCTGGGGCCGGTACCGGGCCAGCACTCGGTGGTAGCCAGACTCGGCGTCCCTGCGGGAGAGGAGAGGAGAGCGCTGCACCGGCCCGGGTGCTGCTGGCTCTGAGCCACCGCACTGCACCGACCCCAATGGCACGGGCTGGGAGATGTGCTGGGAAATGGCGATTTCCATTGCTGCTCTTTGCTCCAACTGGGAACAAAAGGGCCTTGGAAAACACCGATTTGCCAAATGCAGCTGCATTTTCATTGTACTGATAAACACTGCCAAGATCAAAACAATTATTCAACACAGCCCTGATGTGCTGGTGCAATATCACTATCACAAATTACTTTCTCGGGCTTTGAACATGATTTTGGCTCAGGACATTCGGGCTGGTAGTGTGTATTTGGAATTGTCCTGGGAATTAAAATGGGAAGGCTAAGCATCCTCTGCCACAGACCTGCGCAGGTCCCACAACCTCTTCCATTCCCCAGGCATGCCACGATCCATGCCTGTCTCCCAAGACTATTGAATTAAGTCCTGCAAACTGCCCTAGGCTCTTACAGTGATACAGCCTTTGTTTGTCATTCACTCCACCCTTGGTAAAAAGTGAGTGTGAATCCCTCGGAGTCTTCACACAAAGACTCCGGAGAACAAAAGACTTTCTGAACAGAGTGAGAGAAGGGTAAAACCAAGGTGGGACTGAACACTCACCGCAGAGCATCGGCACTGGGTTCATAAAAGCCCTGTTTCTGTGGGAGAAAGAACAGGATCTGTTTGTAACAGCGCCTCTACAGCACCAGTGCCACCTTACCTCCTGACTGTGCTATTTCATCTTTACTCTTGACCCCACTTGTCATTCCACACCACCCAGAAAAAGTCCGCTGCTCCACACCTTACCAGTGTACCTTCTCTTCCTTCCCCTCCCTCTTTATCTCATCAGGAAGTAAAACAATCTCTTCCTCCTCCCCTGGTTCCAAGGAACTCCGAGCACAGGGTGAGGCAGCTATGCTCACACTGACACTTTATTGAAGTGATGAGCAGAGGCAGACTGAGCACAGCAAAGCACTGCTGTTTTGGTGAAGAGCCAAAAATACATCTTTAAAGGGCTGGAGATTGCCATCACTGAGTCCCTTACGGCCAGTGCCGAGCCTGGCTCTGAACATCTCCATGGATCCAGGCTGGTTTTACCAAGAGTCCACTCTTCCCCTGATAATTTGGATCTGAGTTCCTTTCTGGAATTCCTGGACAGCTTCATTCCTCCTTTTGCAGCCCTGTCCTGCTCACCTGAGGCCTGAGAGGCTCAAAGCCAATGTACTCATCGTTGGGAATGATGGATGAGATCACCTGTTGGAGAACAAAGCAAGGAGTGAATCTAGGCTGGATGAAGAGACCTCCAAACTTCATCCAAGATTATCTGCTCAGACCCATTTCCTTCTGGCATCCCAAGGTCAGGCAAAATGTGGAGCTGGGCACACAGTGGGAGAGGCAGAGCTGGATTCCCAAGTCAGCTTCAACCATTTGTGTCCCAGTTTTTTAGACTTTCCAATGTTTCTTTAAAAGTATGTTAATTTATTACTTTCCTTTATTTGTTTTGGAGCTCTCTGTTCTGACTGTACTGGTCACAGAAGAGGTCAGAGAAATTCTCTGCTGCCTTGTATTAAGGGATGTGACAAAGCATTTGTCCCCCAAGTGTCCCCTTGTCCCTCTGGGAATGCAGGACTGAGACAATGTGCCCCTCTTTAAAAGGTCATTGTCAGCAAAAGGGTAACCACAGGTTCCCAGAGTACCTGCTCAGCCCTGTCAGACTTTAAATTGACAAGGATTGGGAAGGTATTTTAGTGCCAAAGTGTATTTTTTGGTAGAAGAGGTGGCAATTCAAACAAATTTTGGCTTCTGTGTCCCGACTGCCTGGACTGGCTGCAAGCTCTGCCCATCCTGCTCTGAGTCCTCGCACAGCACTGCTCTCTGGAGATGGCAGAGGCAGGATTTTTTCTGCTGCTGTTAATTGTGACAATTATGTGCCTGTTACCTTGGGTTTACCCAGGAAATCTTTGGAATCCAGCTGCTCAACTTCCTTCTTTCGTGGTCTGAAAAGTTCCCCGAGAGGAACCAGCATGGGCTCTAAAAACAGGTGGTCCTGGGGCGGGTAAAGCAGGTAAAGGAAAAGCCATCAATTCACATTGAATGAAATATCAGAGCACTGAAAAGCAAATACAGCTTAGGTATACAAGAACAGCTCCAGGAAGATATTGGGGCAAAAATTTCAGCTGTGAACTTGACAAAGGCCACTCAGGCTCCACAAAAGCATGAGCAAACAGAGCTCAGCAGCCCCTCCCCAGTGTGGAGGCAAGGACTGACACTGCTGGCATGGGGTTCGTGCAAAGTGGGGCAGTACAGGAAGGTTTATCAAACAAATCTTCCAAACAGCTTTTCTGTTTAACTTCAGATGTTTTCTGTTCAGCTACTGAGTAGCATGCTAATAGCAAATATAAATAATACACTGGAAAAGCACAAACGTGATGTCAGAAGAGATGATCAGATTAAAAACAAAGTATGAATGAATCACTTATAAAGTATGAAGGTAGCAAACTAATGAATCCTTCAGGGAGAGTAAATCAGAAATCTGCAAATGTTTCTAGATCATAAAGGAGTTTAACAGGAAACTTACTAGAAGCAGCCCTAGAAACACTTTCACACCCTACTTTAGCTCTAAAAGTGATTGACATTAATTTCTGAGCTGCCACCAATTTTTCCTGAGACCAAAAGGACTCAAAAAAAGCCAGTCAGTGCCATGAAAAGGGAGACTCTCCAGACCTGCACTTGTAGGGTTTAACCACAAGGTAATGGGTTTTGCAGGACAAGTACAAATGGAACTGAGCTCCTGAATATGAGGAACCAAGAAGCCCTGTCCTCAGCCACAGAGGTCATCCCGAAATTCTTCACTATGATGTTTCTGGGCAGTGAAGCACCTGGGGTGATAGAGTTCCTCGGTCACCTGAAGCACTGGTTTGGCAGATCATCATGTGCAAATGGCTCAGTCTGTGCTAGCAGGTGGGTGGATGGCAGGAATGTGCAGGTATCAGGAACACTCAGAAAACTTTTAGCACACATCCCTGAGCTGAAGCCCAATGTCCACACCCAGGAACTCACAGAGGTGGCCTTACCTGCACCCGCTCAAGAGCCAGCTCTAGGATTGCTCTTCTTCTTTCAGGCCTCCACACAACAGCCTTCTCTAGGGTGACTCTGGCCTCCTGCCACTGCTGCAGGTGGCACTGCACTGCTGCAGTGCTGTACAGCACCTGGAGAGGGCACAGGGAAGGGACTCAGAGGGCCAGGACCCAGGAACACCCAGCACATCCTCCTGAACTCAGCCAAGAAACAGGGACAGACACTAAAACACCAAAAATTCAGCAACAGGACAAATATTCTGAGCAGCATAGTTGGGAAAATTTCACCATCAGAAAGGAAAAATAAAAGCTTGGGTGTGCTGGAGCTGCTGGTCAAGGTGAGAAGAGACAGAGGGACAGCACGTGAAGACTCTGGTACCACACTGTTTATATCTGATCCTTCTGGCATCCAAAAGGCTAGGAAGCTTTTCTTTGGATTCTTTCCGCATGCAACTAGGTAATGATTTTTTGTAATCCTGACTCCCTGTCACTGTAAAATAATTTAACTGAAACTATTTCATGTTGTAGTGAGCTGTGAATGTGCAAACTGTCAGCTGTAGCTTGTCACCCTTCAGCAGTATGTCAGTCTGATCCTGGGGAAGTGCAGGCTGTGGGAGTGTTGCAGACAGGATGTTGGGGAGCTGTGGTCTATAGTGAGAGTGGGAGATCTCTCCCTGTCAGTGGCCAGCACTCAGTGTGTTGGAAAGCTGCTGGGCCACAGGCAGAGAGCACTGTCAGACAGCTCCTTATCTCCTGTGATAGGATTGCCAGCTGGGAATTGAGGTGTGCCTGGCTGCATGCCCTGCTCAGGACAAGGCTGGAGCTCATAGGATGCTTTTCCTTTACTCCTTAATCACGGCAGTAGAAGTCCCTGTTTGGGAGTGTGGGAATGGCAACCCTGAATGGGAACTTCAGGGACAGGCCCTCTCGGGAGGCAAGGCAGCAGTTCTCACTCAGTCAGAAGTGTCACAGCCTTGCAAGCAGCAAATATTTCTGGGTTTTCAAACCATGCATGTATTTCTCATGAGAAGATCAGATGCAGCACGTGAGAGGCCATGCACAAGAAAGCTGATGGCACAATTCTGCTGGAGGATGATGTTTGTATATTTTGAAAAATGAGCTCCAGGTAAGAACGAGATACAGCTGGATCAGGATGCTGATATCAAGTCTGGAGGGCCAACATGGTGCCAGCACATGTCCTGGTGATGCCTGGAGTAAGGGGTCGTGTGCTCACACCAGGAAGGGCCCCAGCCTCCTCAGGACACTCCTGAGCCCTGCCCATTTCCCCAGGAACTGCTCACTTGCAAGAGAAGGCAGCACCATGGCACTGAAGCTGTTAAAGCCAGGGGGGTTTGGGTAATGCTACGGATGCCAAGAATACCTTCCTCCTGCCAGGTATAAGGTGTATGAAAATTGCCCGAGATGCTTGACTGGAGTTACACAATGACTCCTTGCTCTCACGGAAGTAAGGAGTTAAATCCTCTTTCCTGTATCTGCTCTTCAATCTGTGCGTGTGGGCTCAGAGAAAACAAAATGAACCTTTCCAGTAAGGACAGTTTCTAGGAATCCTTTACATATGTCCAAATACTACAAAAATTTACAATCAGTTCAGCCTTTGAGGTTCCTTGAACAGGATGTGGCAGGTTGGCTCTGTGTGACAGTAAGAGCTGCAGGATGAAGCATTACAAACACAGCCTACACACAGGGTGTAAGTTCAGGCACAGAGGGAATATTAGATCTGTTGCTGCAGCTGGAAAGAGGCCTTCATGCACCTGAATTTCCTGGAGTCTGCATTATGCATCAGCTCTGTTCTCATCTGTCAATGTTTCAACCTCTTTCAGCTCTGAGAGCTGAGGAATTCACTGAACTTAAGAGTGTATTTACATGCAAGTGTAAATATTACATGGAATTCCAGACTGGTGTGGTTGGGAAGGATCTTAAAGCTCCCAGTTCCACCCCTGCCACAGGCAGGGACATCTTCTATAGATCAGGCTGTTCCAAGCCCCGCCCAACCAGGCCTTGGACACTTCCAGGGATGGGGAAGCCACCACTTCCTCTATATATAGAGAAAATAAAAACCCCTCAATATAGAAATTCCTTTGCACCTATTCTGAATAATTTTAGTTTTCAAACCGCATCATTTGCTACACTTTCCAGAGCTGATCTTGGTTGACAACTTTTATTATTAAGTTACTTTAATCAAAGTGCAAGCAGAATATTTTTACAGTTTGAATGTACTTTCTTGAAAAGGTCTTGGGTCACTAATGCCTGCTACTGACACCCTCAACAGTGGGGAAGGATTGCTGAGCCAGGCTGACTCTTACCTCCCAGGCATAGAGGATGTGCCTCAGCCCCAGTTGCTTGTAATCAATGAAGGGATTTTGTCTTAGGTGATTGAAGGCCACGTGATAGTCAGAGAGAGCTTCTTCAAACCTGCAACACAGAGGTGACACAAGAAACTGAGCCTGAAGAAGCTGGAGACTGTTTAAGAAGCTTAAAAATCACACTAGCACATAATATGTATTCTGCTGCACCAGAGATGTGTCATCTTTGTAAAGAACAAAGATTACCCACTGCTGGGAACTCCCTGCCTGTCTCAGGAGGATCAAGGGCTGGCAACTCAGCTGATGGGGACCAGGGAGGGCACACACATGGTCAGAGCATCAGAATTGAGGAACTCAACATTTAGAACCTCAACATTAAGAAATTTAGAGAACGTCTGAGACTAAGGAGGGAATTAGTCTGGATTTGTACCAGCTATGCAACTGAAATCCAAGCAGGTGCCCACTGAGGCTGCACGTGGTGAAAGGAAGGGCCCAGGAAGGGATGTGCAGTGGGCACCCCAAGAGAAGGTGCTCAGGTGGGTGTGGGTGGGTGAGAGCAGCTTCAGATGAAGGAAGGAGCCCTGGAGCACTGGAAGCCATCAGCTCTTTGGGCAGGAGGCAACTGCCAGCTGTGCTGCCCCTGCAGTGAGTGTGCTTGGGGCACATTTGCTTCTGCTGGTGGTGGAGCAGCTCCAGATAGCCCTCCCTGTCTGGGGCTCCACCAGCCCCAGGTACAGCCCCTCCACTGGAGAAGCCAGAACTGCTCACTTTAACTCCCTCCCAGAAATAAAAACAAGCATTTTCTGGAGATTAAGGTCTGGAAAATATGGGGAAGACAAGATCTGTAAAATACTTCACCCAGGTCCCTGAAGAGGATGTCACTGTGATTTAACTGTGGAAACAATGAGTAATCAATCCCATGATACTTCTGGAGCAATTTCAATATTTTATCAGTGAGACTGAGATCAGGTCCCCGAAGTCTGCTGGCAGGAGAGTATGCAGGCTGCATTTCAGGAAGGCCAGACTCATGTGTGTCATGTGAAGACACACCAAGCAACACAATTATATTTTTTTAATTCCCAAAGAAAATCTGAATGGCAACATAACATTGTGGCAGCCTTGCATCCAGCAGTCTCTATGTTTAGGGGACAGCAATGTGGTGTGTCAGCCATCCCTGGGGCTGCAGAGTTGTGCAGTTCTTATCAGAGATAAGACTTGCTGACCTGTGACAAGGTTTCCACGGCTAAAGCAGACCCTGTGAACCCTGTGAGGTTGCTGGAAGAAGTGAATTTTGGAATCAAAGAATTATTCAGGTTTAGGAATAAAGCAGGACTGAAAGGAGAATCAAAACTGCAGAATCAAAGAATCAAAAACTGCACTGGCTGTGCATCTCACTCACATTTCCAGCTGCAGGTGGACAAACCCCCTCTGGAAGTAGCCCACTGCCAGGGAATTGTCCTTCTCAATGGTTTTATTGAATGCCTGAGGAGAAAAACACAGGCACATCCCAAGAATCAGCTGCGATCTGTCCTGTCAGTGCCTGGGCACACATACCCAGCCAGACACATCCCAGTTGCCCCCATAGAGGCAATCCCTGGGCTCCTGCCCAGCTCCGAGGGGCCAGACACAGCTCCTGGTCATCTCTCAGGTCTTGGCTCTGTGTGAGCTGAGCTTCAGGCCCTTTCCCCTCCTTCCTACAATGGACTGGACATAAATGAGCTGCATTGGCCATCTGGCTTCCTAAAATGGGAAAGCTGCAGCCTGAAGCAGAGTTGGCCAGGATAGTGGGAGCAGCAGGACTGTCCAGTCTGGGGAAGGCTGAGGTGATGAAAGGGAGGAAGCTGCAGGGCTTCCCACAATGGCCTCTAAGTCAGTACCTCTGCTTCACTGCCCCAGCTAAATACAGGCAGTGCTCGCAGAGCTGGCAGCCACTCGTGGTTCAGTGTGCTGGGAGAGCCAAGAGTCCTCCAGAGGCAGCAGCAGGGATGTGCTCCTTCCTTCTCACTGCAGACACCTCATGGGTATAACAACTACTGAAAGGCCAGCCCTCCCTGACCCTGCCTGCACAGGGACAGCACTGCAGGTGAAGATGAGTCTCCGTGACCCCCCCCACACCGTGCTGGAACGTCTACCTCACTGGGCCATAAATGAAATAACAGCAGCCAACTGTTGATCCACACGGAAGCAGAGCTGAGCTTCTTCCCAGCCACTGCCCCTTGGTTGGGGCTCAGAAGTCTCTCCTGAGCTCTCTCCCCCATCCCCATGGCACCACTGCCCTGTGCTCACTGCATCCCAAGCAGCCAGTGCCCTGCTCAGGGCTCCACAGTGCTGCCCCAGCCCCTCCAGCATAGCCTCAGCTCTCCCTTATGCTGTTTGAGGAAAGCTTTATCTGCATCCTCTCAGTGGATATGGATGGATGGATGGATGGATGGATGGATGGATGGATGGATGGATGGATGGATGGATGGATGGGAAGACATTCTACATTCTGTCACAAAAAGGCTTTTCCTCAGGGCACCTCCTCTCCCTTCCCAAGGGCAGTGGTTTTCCAGCATGGAAGCTTTGTTCTGGCAGTCTCCACTGCCAAGAAATGTACTTGTACTTTCAAAATACACCCATCTCATGTCTAAGCCCATGCCTATGGAACAGCTGTTGGACAATCCTTTTCCTGCTTTGATTTAAAGCTACAATACTTTTTAAATTTATTGTGCATGGCATGTCCAGTGGGCTAAGGTCTTCACTTGGAATCAGGCAGGCTGAGCTTTAGAGGTGTGGTTTTCACATGATAATGAGCTAAATTCACCTAAAGGACATAATTTTAAACGATATAGCTTAAACAAAACTTAAGGCACATTGCCAGACACAGTTTCTAGTACCTAATTAAAGTGCTCTCTGTTTCTATTATCTTGTTTCAAAATGATTCTGCCCACTGATCGGGATTTTCATAGCATTTAGAGAACCATAGAATCACAGAATCATTAAGGTTAGAAAAGGCCTCAAAGATCGAATGCAACTATTAACCCGGCATCACTGAGTTCACCACTGAACCCTGTCCTCAATGGCCACATCCGTCTTTTTAACTTCAACCTTTTTCACTTTTCTAGGATTCCCTCAAACCATTCACCCTCCAACATCACTGCTCGCATTGCCGCTGGACACGCAGGACACCAAAAGCTGGATTTCAAATCTAGTTTCAGCATCGTTCCCTCCGAGAGGGACCATGGGGAGCCGAGCCGCCCCTCCCCGGGCTCCCTCCCCGGGCTCCCTCCCTTCCCCCGGGGCTCGCGGCTCACCCTGAGGGCCGCCTCGGGCCGCCCGGCCAGCAGCTGCACGCAGCCCATGTTGAAGCAAATCCGGGCCGGAGGATCCGCGATGCCGCCGAAGGCGTCCAGGGCAGCGTCCCAGTGCCCACGGTCCGCCGCCCGCACGGCCTCGTGCCAGCGCCGCACCAGCTCCCGGTACGCCATGGCCGGCCCAGGGCACCGGGAACGGGAACGGGGCCGCACCTGCGGAGCGCCCGCGCCTCACCTGCGCCTCACCTGCTGCGACGGGGCGGGGAAGCGCGGTCACCTCCGCCCGCTGCGCTCCTCCCCCGGGCGGCGGGAGGAGACACTGAGCCCAGCATGGGACACGGACCTGGCATAGGACATGGACCTGGGAGGGGACGGGACACAGAGCGGGGAGGGGGGAACACGGACCGCGGCAGGCGGCCGTACCCGGCGGTGCAGACAGGTGAGGGCGGTGGCCACACCTGAACGGGCGCTGAGGGGATGCTGCCCGCAGAGGGCACCTCGCTAGAAGCGAGCCCGCGGTCAGCGCTGCCGCAGCCAAAATACCGCTTTGGGAACTTCTTTGAATAAAATGTTTAATGTAAATTTAATATAGTAGATATTCGCACGGCCACGGATTGTACGGTAAGTACGGTAGGCATAGACGGCTGCGTGCTCCGGTAAATACGGTAGAAGCCCCGCCCCCCGGACTCTCGCGCTGCCGCGGGCGACATCGCCCCCTGGCGGCGCTGCGCATCGGTGTTCCGGAACAGGAGACCGATGGGGGCGCGGCGCCGTGCGCGAGACGTTCCGGGGGCCGTGGGGTGAGCGGCGGGGAAGGCTTTGCGCAGCGGACCGTAGGTGCGGGCGGTTCCGGGCGGTGCCAGGTGAGTCCCGGGAGGGCCCAGCCCCGGCCCGTGCAGCCCGCACCGGAGGGGCCTACGTGCGGCCTCGGATACCGAGAGGAGCGGCAAGCAGGCGGCGAGGCCGGGCCGCTCCTGGTGTCCGGATCGCGCCACGAAGCGGCGCCAGGGCTGGCAGGGCCGTGCCGGTCCGGCGGAGCGGGCTGGGCCAGGCCAGGCCAGGCCGAGGCGCTGGACGAGGAGCCCGTGCGTGCGGGGAGCGGGGCGGAGAGAGCAGGGTCAGAATTAGCGGTGATTGCACCTTCAGCTCCGCGAGGCGGCGGGACGGACTTAGAGCGGTCACACGGGCTTGAGCGAGTTCATTACAAGTTAATAAACCAAAGAAATCAGGGGCAGCCCTGCGCCAGGCAGCGGTGGAACTGGTGGCATTCAGTTTGAAATAAACTGGTTGGGCTCCCTGCCACTGATTTGAAATGTTGCAGGGAATGAGACACGGACCTGACATGGGACGTGGACCTGGGAGGGGACGCACAGAGCCCGGAGTGGGGGGACACGGAAGAGTCATTGGAGAAGAGGCACTGGAGTTGAAGCACCTCGAGTATTGTCCGCACATGGAAAGATAAAATGTGGTTTAGGAAAAGAAAGACAGTTTGTTAACATGATGTCAGCAGTAGGAGTGAGCAGGTAAAATTTTGTGTATAATTAGATCCTGCAGATGCAATGAATGTAAAGATTAAAGGCTAAACCACATGTGGTTGGAAAGGAGATCCCCCCCTGGATCTCTGGTGTTCCTTCTTGGGAAGTGATTTCAGCATCTGTCTGAGTCAGCTGATGAATTCTTAGAACCACGTATTTGGATTTTCTGAGGAGTTGAACTCTGGTGCAGCCTGACAAGTTAATTAAACGAGGTGGTGTTGCCACACAGACTTTAAGGATGGCCTTAGGACAAGACGTGCCTCAGCTGTTACATGGAAGTTGTGGATGAGAGGGAGCCAGCTGCTTCTCTCACCTTGGTTCAGTCCCTGGCTGAGCCCAAAGCAGCAGTGTAACCTTTGCTGTTCGGGGTCCCTGACACAGAGGGGACATGGTAGGGACAAGGTGCTGCTGCTGTGGCCTAGCCTGGCCTGCCTGGGTGGTTCCACGTAGCAGGAGGATCTTGATACCAGGACAGCTTCCCACCACAGCCACTGGTGGGGGTGGAGGGGGACTGGCAGGACACAGGTGCATCAGTGCCACAATCTGAACTGCACTGGTGGGGGAGGCATTGATTGCTTGTGTGGTTTTCAGTTTTTCTAAAGAAAATCAAACTGTAGTGACCATGTGTGTGCACGTGGTTAGAATGGACTATGAGGGCATCTCTGGTTCCAGGAGCTCTCCAGTGAGATAGAAAAATACTGGGGAGTTCAGAGCAGGCCACAAAAACGCTCTGGTTCTGGAAAACAAGCCCTAAGTTCAATTTATTCAGGCACATTCAAGAGAAGAGAGTTGAGGAATGACTCAGGCACTCTGGAAACCCATGCCTGTGGGAAGTTATGCCACAGCTGGATCCTGTCAGCCTTTCCAAAGCACGCAGCAGGATCTAATAACTGAGGCAGAGCTACACAAATTCTGTTAAATGTGACCCAATTTCTCAGCAGTGGTGGAGGAGTTTGGGAAGAGGGGAAGGCCTGTCAGTGTTGGGAACTCCTCAGCTGAAGGATCTCAATGCTGAAGGTGTGTTCAGAGCAGACTCTTGGGCAGTCTCGGGGGCCAAGTCAGTTTGTGCAAGCAATAGGGCAGAAACAATCAAATTTTAACATTTGGAGCAAAAACAGCAAAATGCATCATCGGGAATGTAAATGCTCCAACAGGAAAGCTCTGTCTGGAGTTCTAAGGCAACAGTACTGCCTGTAAAAATGCTGCCACTTACCTGCACAGAGCTGTGCTGGTGGCTGCAGTTCAGCAGTGCAGAACACTCCTGTCTCTGTTGGGGCAGTGGCAGTGCTGCTCACACAGAGCTCCTCAGGTAGGCGTGGGCTGCACAGAGCTCATGTAGACATAGAAGGACTAAACTGAACCCTTCACATTGCTCCTTTCCACTGCAAATGGCAGCTGGCACAGCTGGAACAAGTGCAGCTTGTGGGATTCTCCAGAGGGAGTGTGCAGAGGTGAGAGGCAGCAGGGAGTGCTCCCTGTGCTGGGAGCTCTCAGCTCTGAGGTAGTGCAGAGGGATCCTCACTCACAGGTGGATGCCAGTTCACAGAGGCTCAGTTACATTCAGACAACCAAAGCAGCCGCTCCTGTCAATAAATAATTTACCCAAATATCTATTAAATAACCTGCTGATGTGTGCAGTGATGTAACCTAGGAGAGGGAATGACATAGGGCACCTGTGGGCTAATGACAGAGACTTTTATTGGAATTAATGTTCTTCTGAACCAAGTTTTAGTAATTGAATTCAAAAGTTTATTACTGAATCTGTTTAATATGTCCTTAAATAAAAATATATTTTTTGTAGTGCTCTGAGGATTCTTGGTGCTCTGGCAGCCTCCTCAAGCAGCTCCCTTGGTAACCCGGGGCACTGGAGGGAGGGCTGGTCACAGAGGAACTGAGGAGGAGAAATACATGAACAGAAACAGGACATGTGCCAAGGACTGAGCATCCTTGAACATTCACATGTTCATCTCTCATCTGAATGAATGTGTAGTAAATTGATACAGAGTTGGAGGAGCTATGGCAGATGTCAGTGATAAACGTCTGAAAAAAATCTTGCAGAAAAATGAAAGAAGGGGGTGTGGGATATTGGAAGTCTAGAAAGCTGTCTCCCCAAAGGATAAAAGTCTGGCTCTTTCTGAATACATGTGGAGGTGTGGTGTTGCAATGTGACCAAATGGCATTAACTTGGGCCTGGCAGGTGAGAGCCTTGTCCAGGTGTTTGAGGGCAGGAGCAGCATGTCCTTTTCCCACCTGTGCTGACTGACTCCCTGCTGGGAGACCTGGGGCAAATCCTGCTTTGTGGGCTGCAGCTGAAAATCAGGCAGTAACCTTACTTGTGCCACTAACAACTTATTCATTCTCAGCTTTGCCACTCCACTGGGCTGTTGCTCTGGGCACAGCCCCTTGTGCTGGCTCTAAGCAGGAACAGACCTATTTGAGGGTTGAGGCAATTGCTTCTGTCAAAGACATTTCTACAGCAGAAAAAAAATTCATGTGTTTCTTACGGAATAATCCTCTTGGCAGTTTCTTCTGGAAGGAATAGGTGGAAATGCAGGTAAAGGAGGATGAAGTGTTTTGGAATCTGATCAGACCGGGAGCAGTTAAAAACTGCAATTAAAGACTTCAACTTCTGTCTGATCACCTGTAACACATGAGAGTTCTGTGCCTCCTCTGACCCTATCCCATGGACAAGGTTGTGTATTCCTTGTACTTGCCACACTGTGAATGTGGAGAAGGAATTTTCTAATGAAGAAAAAGTAGATATAAATAAGAAGAATGGAAGAATTAAGCAAAGGAAAAAAATGTTGAATTTCTGTTGTGTAAACATTTGAACAGTACCAGGCCAGAAACCAATTTGAAGTGGACATATCAGGAGTGGTTCCTGTTGGTGTCCTGCTCTGGGGCTGCTGTTCCTGCAGGTCCTACCTGCCCCTGCTTTTTATGGTAGCAACTGACATAAAAAATGCATCAAAGCTCTTTGTCCTGTCATAATACAGTAGCCAAATTCTCTGCCCAGTGGGTCAGTCCATCTCTGAGTCTGTTTATGAGAGCAAAGCTGCAGGTATGTCTGCACAGGTGAGCTCTGGATCCTGTGCAGGTTGCTGAGCTGGGCATTGCTGTGATCTTTGTCCCACGTTACTGAGCCAGGGCAGGAGAGATTCCAGCTCTACGTGGATTTAATGCATTTAAATAATTTCCTCTTTATTACAGCTCCAGCTCTGCCAAGGGTATGGTCACACTTCATGTTAAGTCTAAATGTGTGGCTGCAGTCATTTTAGACTCTTTTGATTAATGTAATACTTTCTTTTTGCTCATTCCATGGCTTGTCATACCCACATAATGTGATTTATTCTTGGCTGTTGCTCATCTTGCCTTCAAAAGCAGAGTACGTATCAAGGGGTTACCCTTACAGCTCTGCACACAACTGTGGTTCACTTATTTCAGTGATTAATTGGCTCTTGCATTTTCCTACACTTTATTCTGTGCTGAATAGGATTCAGGTCTGGTTCAAAAGAGACTTTCTGGTCATTTTTGATTTTACACCAATTCACTGAGCCTTGTTTGGGTTACATGTTCATGAAAGAAAAGTCTCTTTTTCAAAACAGCAAGGACATTGTCTGTCCACTGCTGATCTTTGTA